AATTGCAGGTAAGTTTCTTAATAGCTGGGCGAAAAGTGCAGGCAAAGTTGCAATCTTGCGTAGTCATATCTTCCTCATTGTAACTTCATTGTAAAACCCCTTAGTGCAGAAAAACTGGGAATTTTGTTAGCAGTGGATTTGTACCCATTCTGAGTGGAGTTTCCAGTTAATCCAAAATCATCAATATTTCAGCCAAAACCTGCGGCTAGGTAAACGGCAAGGATCGAGAAAAAGTCAAGTAGCCGGATTATTCGAGAGATTTGAGGGTAGAGGACGTTAGATCGCCGAATGGGGCAGTCCCCACGCATTTGCAACAAACCGCGCCCCTTCACCATTATTGCCTCATGCTATCTGTCCGCATGGGTGGAGCCTAATGGCAACCTAATGTCCTCTTTCCGAAATTTGACCATAGGGTATCCGGCCTACTGACTGTGATAACCACATATGATTCGCAAGGTAGCTTCTTATTGTAGGGCTACAGTGGAAATATTTTAGGTAAATATGGATTTCTCCAAAAGTTCGAAGAAATTTTCGCCTTTACTTCAAAAGATTCTTTGTGCTCCGTCTAGCTGCTATGGAGCATGGAAAGCTGTTCTATCAAATAATGTTTATCGGAGCTATCTATCTATACTGTGTATAGGTTGCGTCCTTACAAAATCTGCTCGCAGCACATGATTGAAGACCTCAGGCCAATGCAAAATGACTTCTTACTTACTCCTACAGAATCCATACAAAGTGCCACCAAACCATGCTAACATAAATGTTATCAGCTCACTGAGTAGTCCTTCTCAACAAAAAGTAGGGAATTTGCGAAGACTAACTACCTACTTGCATACCTACCGTATTCCTACATACTATGGTACTCCTATGTATACCACATTTGCTTCGCAGAGGTCGCATTAACCATTATGAAGAGTACAGGGTAAACTTACGTAATGGCATTGGCCCTTCCAATTCCAGTCATTCTTCCATTGAAAGACCGCTGAATAATCACAAAAAACTTACTTGCTGTGGAGCTCTCACATGCATTAAAGCAATGTAAATCATACCTTACTGTAATTTTCTCACAGACCAACTTACAGAGCGACAGAAGCGGCTTATCACAAGTGCCTTGATGTCAGAAGATGCGCTTTGCCAAGTTGAGTAGAGGTGCTTTTGGATTGAAAATCACATACTCTGGACGGAGATTCGGCGACGAGACGCGAATTTCGGCAACTCCGGCGTACGCAGCCCAAAGCACCGTTCAGACCACGCGGTACCCGCCTAAACCTGCCGAAATCCGTCAAAACCTGCCAAATGAGGCAAGGGTTATGAAGGGTGTTACGCGTCGAGTTATTTGTGACTGTTATGTACATTTCACAGTTCGCTCAGTGTCTCAAGCGTGCTTTGTAATGCTGACTTCCAGGCATGTCTCTTCTTTCATTTGGCAGGTTCCGGCGGGTTCCGGCGGGGTTCGGATGGGAACCAGCGAGTTCGAACGGATGCCTGCGCGGTCTCAGCGATGCTAAACTCTGGCGACCAACGAGCGAGCAGTATTGTAACTGGGGCCGAATACAAATGGAAAGCTAAGTCACTTCTTTTTTGTCAATGGGATTCTTGAATGAATGCTAATTTTATCTTTGGTATTGAAAAATAATACCAAATATTCTTGGACTCCTTGGACTTCGCCTCTGCTTCGCAGGGGTTCGCATTGGCCATCATGAGGAGTGCTGGGTAACAAAAGATTGTCTTCTAGAATGAAAACAGCGTAAAAGATCTGACCTGAGTGCACAAACGATGAAGCTCTTTAAGAGTTACAACTCTAAAAAGCCGCATCAAATACCATAAATCAAAAAAAGAAGTTCATGCTGATTTTTGACTGTCATACGTTGGTTTTGTACACATGACATCTCACAGCTTTCTTCAATTTGCATCTATTATCAATTGACAGCTGTCTTGCTTGGCGTGTTGCGTTTATCAATGAAATTCGGAGTGAAAACCGCTGTTGACTGTTGAACAAGACAAATACTTTCTCTCTGACTAGGTCGGAAATTCCATGAAAATTTTACAGCCTGTGGAGCTCCGCGTTTAACTAGAGACTACATGAAAATTACTATGCCTGAGCTTCGGCATCAACAAGTGTGTCCAACTTTTCGATTCATTAACAATCAAGACCCAATCTTACCAAAAGTTTGGCTAATCGCATTGCCGTTCTTCCGATTGTTCAGTATGTGAGGCATTCATGGATTTGATACTTCCTTCTGTATGCATTGGCAACATTGTATGCACAGACCGCTGAGCGCTGCGTTTTAGTGCTGTTTCGCTAATCGTAGTTGCGAGCTTTCTCTCATACATTGCTTCCTTTTCTTCCAGACTTATGGGGCTCGAACACTATTATTTCATGTACCGAAACTTGAACACTTTGGTCATACTTAGAGAGTTTGCATTTGAGATTAGTAAGTAGTAACTTATTCTAACGAATCCCTGATTTCAATTTTTTGCAGCCTATCATGACCTGCTACAAATCTTTTTCTTTTCTTGAATTTCTCTGCAACTGCCCTTCTGTACAGAAGTTATGAAGAATATTCGTGTAGAAGCAATTTAGATGTTCACTCAGCTTATCTCTACTTATGTTGACTAGTTTTGTAGTATCACGAGTCTGAAATAAATGGCTAGTCGGTAGCTGGAACCAGGAAGATGAAACGAAGCTTTGATTTTGAGAAGTCCTTACGAAGTTCCCTTTCACCTGTACTCCCCTCCCCCCTCCCATCCCAGATTCACTACTTTTCACTTGCCTGTTTTGCTTGTGCTGTCGCTCATCCCAGATTAGAAGGTATGAATCTGAAAACACCATCTTTTATTATTTATTAAACACAAAATTCAAAAAAATTTTTTAATGCTTTCTGTATTATGCGCAGAGCGCATTCTGCTACATAGTTCCATAGTCGGCGCCACTACCGGTCAAGCACTTACCTCCTCCCTCCACATCTCCCTAATGAAGATGCATCAAAAAAATTTTTATGAGCAATTATGACAAGTCTGACTATTGACTTATTTTTTTGGAGTCTAGTTTTTCATTTTTTTGGTGGAGATGATCATACAGACGTTAGGTAAAATATTTATGTAGAAGTAAATGAGAAGTTTACGTAGGTAGTCTATGATGACTAGATTTACAACTTATTTACTTATACCATCAGAAATGCTCAACTTCTTAGTGTTATATAATTGTGCTGTCTAATGAAGATGTGTAATTCAACATGGAGACTGTTGTCAGCACCAGATTATATGCGGTGTAGTAAGATAGCCGACTTGTTCGGGAAGATTTTTTTTTCGAAAACAACAGAAAGTTTTTACTTGTATTGTTTTTTTACAACGTATATTGATAGCACTGACTGCCAACACTTCAAACACAATGCGGAACGAATCAATTGTTTGGGCCGTGAAGTCATATCTTCATATTTTCCATTGAGTTTGACCATGATATTAGTTAATCCTCAAAAAGCTGCGGTTGCTTGTTTTTTTATAAATCCCCAGATTATCAGTCTGATATGTAAAGAACCAATGCTAAGTGCGGCTTTGACATTTGATGCTGTATAAGTTTTGTCTAGAATGTTCCAGGCCTTTGCCTATGGTTTATTATGATCGTATTTTGAGTTTTTCCTTATCTTTCGTCGTATAAGCTGAATGCCTTTCTTAGGAACATAGAACGGTTGAATGAGCAATCTTTTAGCAATAAGATTGGAACTATAAGAAAGAATGGACAGAGCTTTCATGCTAAACGTGAATTATTGAATCCGAAAACAATCTATATACAGCCTCAAACTTCAAATGTTTTGCAAAACTAGGAATTCTTCTTCTTGGCTTTACTAGAATTTCTAACAATTGAGATGTGATTTTTTGCGCTTTTCGAACGAAAGTGGTTTTCTATCTCTAGAAATTTGAGACAAATTTGTGAGCGCGAGCTAATTCTATCTCCGACATTTCTAAAAGCGAGAGAATTTGTTTGTCAGCCCTATCAGATTGCACGAAAACCAATAATGTAAGGAAAATATTCAACATTCCGACAATAACTATCGGCTCTTGCTTGTCTCGAATTTGTCATTCGTTTCAGTGAATGGCAGACTATGTAAAACTTAGCTCAACTTAGAACTTGTTGAATTCCTGGTTTCATCAGCATATGCTATTATTTTAGATTGTTTGGCTTATTGTGAGCTGCAGCGAACTTCTAACAAGGGAAGGATACTTGGTCAACGTAGAGTTTCCATATGAGGTACTTTCTTATCCTGCATGAAACGCTGATTCCAAATCTGCCTTCGGTATCTCATAGCGCTGGCTGGAGAGTTATGGTTTTTTTTTCGAACAAAATTTTTAACGCGCGGCTGCGATAAAATCATCCGAAAGTGAAGTCTGTGAGCTCTAATTGGGTCATGATCATTGCCAAGGCACTCCATGCAATCAATACCTTCAGCTCAATAAACTTATGCCAGTTATTACTCCTTTTAAGCTCCAAAAAAGCTTCAATAACTGTTATTATATTAGCCAAATCACTGAATTTTTGCCTCGAAAAATTCCTATAATTCCCTTTTCAGAAGCGCTTTGCAGATAATTAAGGCGTTTTGGAAAGGTGTTTCAAGATACACTTCGTATGAAAACCCCACTTCGATCAAGCATCCTTCCCTTGTAAGGAGATTCATGAGCTGCATAAAACTCCCTATCATCGAGCTTTCCACCTTGTCCTTGATTTGGATGTTCTATGGACAAGGAAAAACCAAATAGCTTTTCTTGCTTAAAAATTGACTGGAAATAGGAAAAGAAGCAGCTTTGCGGCTTTTTCGGAAAAATATCTCGCCACAAAGCAACAAAACATGCAAATTGCCGAGTTGAACCAAATACGAAAACGGAAATACATTTCTGAGGAATGTTATGGCAAAAGTCATGCAACGTTAATCGTGGGAACATTTCTGCTTATAGCACTGAGTCTTGTTCACGCCAATATAACATTAAATTCTCATAGTGCTTGAATGATCCAGCTGCAACAGAATTTTTTGCGATGCTGTTCAAAAAAAGCAATTACCCAGGTAAGATTTTTGCAGATCTTCGCAAAGGCCAAATAAGGAGGTAAATCTATACAACATTTTCGTAAGCACTTGTACTTCTATAATTTAGTTTAACCCAAACTTTGCACATTTTCTTGAAACCTACGTGTCGTTGGATTACAAAGGAACTTATTTTAATTTTGCCAGAAACATATATTTAAAACTCTATTGGCCTTGCTTTAGGCATATTTTGCATTACTACGATGTAGACGAAATTTTTATAGGTTATCATGGAACTTTCGCAATCGAATGTGCATGTAAAGAGGGAAGCAAAGTCACTGCCTAATGGCGACGAAGAGTCGACGATAAAAAAGGTAAGTGCTACCTATAACTCAAGGAAACATACTTGTTATCTTTAACTCGGTCATAAGATGGATGCAAGAGAATTTCGTCTTTTGATTTTAATCTATTCCGCTTCTGTCACTAATTTCCGATCTAGGGCTCGGCACAGGTGGCTTGCAAGCAAGCTGGATATCGTTTTTGGGACAAAAAGTAAAGGGGGTTTGGTTTTTGTGGACGAAGACACGCAAAATTGGCGGAGTTTTTTTTTAGTCGACGTTTCGTTTTTGGAGGATTTTTAGGGAATATGGTGGGAGGTCAAAGGGGACTTCGCAAAAATACCCAAAAGTCAAGGGGGACTTCGTTTTTTGCATTTTCATCTAGCCACCTCGTGCCGAGCCTTGTTCCGATCGCTCTAACGGCCTCTGAGGACGGCGAAGGCGCCGAAACATTGGACCGACTTGCATAAATTTACGATCCTAACAGATCTGTACGGCATAGCAAGAATGAAACGTAAAGCACTAATTTTTTGCGAAGCCCTAGTTTTCCTATACATATTGTTTGCTCTTTCTACGAGTCCTGCATCGAGCGCACTATTGTAAAACATTGATGACTAGCATGACTGAAACTCATGGTGCGAAGGGTCTTTGTATCCCGGTTCTTCCCTTTAGAATTCATACAACCAAGTAGAGAATGAGAGGGTGGCACTTTATATTGTTAATAAATTACCAGAGTTTAACGAATTACGCAACGGTTAGTTACGTCATCACCATTTTATTTATTATTTGCAGCCTAAGATATTTCAAAGTCAAAAGGAAAATTTCATATCGGAGTAAAACAGCTGCATGCAAATATGCAGAACCAAACGTAATCGCTCTCATAATCCGACCCGAAGGTGGAAGTTATCCATGGAAGTTTATCTCTTGCTACCACTGGAAGCATGCTTGACATACAACATGCATTGAAAGCACCAGCTGGAAAATATTTAGCTTTCATTCAAAAACGTACGAAATTAGAGTCAGCTATTGTGAACAGGGGCGTAAGAATTACACTGATGGACTTGTCAATCTAATATGTAAAGAATCGCAAGCGCAATTCAAAAATGTGCAAATAGCGGGAAACCGCGTGGCGGTCCCGAAGCGCGCGCATGCTGCTAGCACCTTCAATTACCGGTTCACTAGTGCTGTCCAAAAAATCCAAAATGGTTTTGAAGAAGGAGAAATTAGAGGGGGTGGCGCTAGCGAAAGCAAAAATACACAATTAATTTGTTTGCTAGATCTCATTTTGTGCTGACGTGTACATAAACTTGAGCATTAGTACTTAGAACTAGTGAACCAGCAATTGAAGGTGCTAATAGCATGCGCTCGCTACGGGACCGCCACGTGGTTTCCCGGCTATGTGCACATTTTTGAATTGCGCTTACGATTCTTTATATATATATATATGTATATATATATATATATATATATATATATTAGGTTGGTCCGAAAGTTCTGTCCCACCATTTTCAAAAAATCGTAACTTCTTCCTAACACAATGTTTTTGCAAGAGTAAAACCACATTGAAAACAGCAATTCGTGCACTTTCTAAAACTACCTTGGCTGCTATTCACTAAGCTCTGAATGCAGAGAAAAAATTGGAAAAAGGAAATCACTTCAATTTCGGAATTTTTAAGCAAGCCCGTTGAAAAATCCAAAAGTGTGCCATAAAATTCAAAACAACCATTAACCTAGGTTTTCTGATCCCCTCTTTCCAGCTGAGCAAGATTCGCGCTGATCGAGCCCTTTTGAAAGAACTTATGATTTTCAAGAAAAAATGTCAAAAATTCAGTTTCTTAAGAAAATTGATTTTTTGACATTTTTTTCAAAAAATCATAACTTTTCGGAAAACAGCTAGATCAGCGCGAACTTTGCTCAGCCAAAAAGAGGGGGTAAAATAGTCTGGCTGGCCGTTACTAATAATACTGGCTGTTTTGGGTTTTATGGCACAGTTCTAGATTTTTTAACGGGTTTGCTTAAAATCGAACTCGAAGTGATTTCGTTTTCCCAATTTTATCTCTGCTTTCAGAGCTTAGTAGAGAGCAGCCAAGGTAGTTTTGGAAAGTGCACGAGTTGCTGTTTTCAATGTGGTTTTACTCTTGCAAAAACATTGTGTTAGGAAGAAGTTACGATTTTTTGAAAATGGTGGGACAGAACTTTCGGACCAACCTTATATATATATATATATATATATATATATATATATATATATATATATATATATATATATATATATATATATATATATATATATATATATATATATAAAGAATCGTAAGCGCATATATATATATATATATATATATATATATATATATATATATACAGGGTGTCCCAAAAAAAATGTGAACACTGTTTGATCGTTAATAACTCCGTCGCTTTCACGTCTTTCGCCGAGCCTGAGGCACCATTCTGTAGAGCGAGGTTCAACTTAGATTTATAGTATGGTGCGAATCACCGATCGATGTTCGTTACTGTAGGATTACGGTATGAACTTCGACAAGGATTTTAGGCCGTTGTAGGCCATATTCTGCCCCGGACGTTAATTTCGAATATGAAATTTCCATTTTACTGTGATGCTTCTTTCCAAGGTTATCCCATTCAAAACGTAATAATTGAATTTCTAGCATTTGTCAGAAATGTGACTACACCGTCAAAAAAGCTAAAAACACTCGTAAAAAGTTGTCTAATGGAATCAGCGCGCACGAAAACCCTAGTACACGATTTTTCAGATTTTTTGAACAAACTTTTGTCAAATGGCATATTTCACTGTAGATCCACATGCTAGAAGTTCATACCGTGATCCTACAGTAACGAACATCGATCGGTGATTCGCTCCATACTACAAATCTAAGCTGAACCTCGCTCCACAGAATGGTGCCTCAAGCTCGGCGAAAGACGTGAAAGCAACGGAGTTATTAACGATCAAACAGTGTTCACATTTTTTTGGGACACCCTGTATATATATATATATATATATATATATATATATATATATATATATATATATATATATATATATATATATATATATATATATATATATATATATATATATATATATATATATATATATATATATATATATATATATATATATACAGAGTGTCCCAAAAAGATGTGCACACTGTTTGATCGTTAATAACTCTCTTGCTTTGATGCTTTTCGGCAAGCTTTAGGCACCATTCTGTAGAGCGAGGATAAACTTAGATTTACAGTATGGAGCGAATCACCAATCACTCTTGAATACCGTAGGATCACAGTATGAACGTTCAGTGTATAGCGCCACTGTGGAATAAACCTTTTGATGAAATAATTTCGAAAAAATCTAAAAATTCGTGTAGCAAGGTTTTCAGGCGTGCTGATTTAACTACATAACTTTCCACCAGTTTTTCGAGTTTTTTTTTTGATGGCCTATTCACATTTCTGACAAACATTGGAAAATCAGTTGTTACTCTAAATCTGAAATAACTCATGAAAGAAACAGTGTACTGACGTGCAATTTTCATATTTAGAATCAGCAACTTCGACTAACCCAGTTCAAGAGTTTCTGGCTTGTTTAGCTTTCTTTCTGAGGCAAAAGACCGCTTTCAATGGCTTAAAATCCTCCTCGAAATCTCAGAATTCCTACCGTAATCCCACAGTAATGAAGAACTGCTGATAGTCGCTCTATACTGCAAATCTAAGTTGAGCCTCGCTCTAAAGAATGGTGCCTCAGGCTCGGAAAAAGACATGAAAGCAAAAGAGTTATTAACAATCAAACAGTGTGCACATCTTTTTGGGACGCCCTGTATATATATATATATATATATATATATATATATATATATATATATATATATATATATATATATATATATATATATATATATATATATATATATACCAGAAGCTGTTCTTTTGTGTTATTTGTTATACTTTTGCAGGTGCCTTGTGGCGATCTTGTGTTCAACATCAGTTCAAATTTACAAGTGTAGAATTCATCAAGATATTTTTAGCAAGATAAGAATCTAGTCAAACATCCGTTTTTTTTGATCTCCACTTCTTATAAGCATCTCGAAATTCGGTTTTCCTTATTCGATTTGAGATTTTGAGGCGAGTAAAGAGATAGAGGATAGCACAGATTTGTTAAGCTATGTGCCTACAGCGTCAAAGCAGACGAGGGATCTCAAGAAAATTTGGGAGTGAATGCAGGGACATCCAGTTTGCATCAGTGAGAGCCTGAGAAAACAAATATTCGATCTTATAAAACTCTTCTTACAGATAGTTGTTGGAGGATCGCGCCTCATTATTTGGGGACACATATATCTCACAAAAAGCCCGCAAACTGATAATATGGGAATTTTTAAAATGACTTTTGAACTCAGGCGAGAAAATTCTGAGCATTGAGTGAATCGATGCAGAATTGGGAAACACAGTTCAAAAAGTAGGCTGGACTATAGCGTTCTGTAGCAGCAAAGCCTTCGCAAACTTGTGATAAGCGCAAGAATGATAGAGGGCAGCGTGACTATAAAGATTGTTATAGCAAGATTTAGAGATTGTAAGAGCCGGGCACTTTACTGCGGCTTCTTTTCCCTGTTAGTCGATGCTCACGGCCATTCCTAGCTGTTTTCCAAATTTCCTCGCTGATGGAACTCACACTCGTAAGGAAAATCAAAGTTCGTAAGAAAAACTTTCACCGTGAGTAGTATCTACCATGACCTAGTTCACATGAAGATTTTCTTTTTCTTCTGAGCAAATTATGCCTGCTTTTCTACAGTAGTGTAATCTCTGTCTTAGAGAATATTGACAAAAACAGGGTGTTCACCTAATAAGCTCGTAAGTTAGAATTTTGATTATCTGCGGTTATTTATTTGAAAAAATGCGCTTGCCGTCCTATGCCATTTGGCAACTTTTTTTTACGGTGCATTGTCAAGAAAAAGAAAATGAATCAGTTCCTGTGCCACTTATCAAAAAATCGATCAAGATTATTAAAGCAGTTCTCACGTCACTCTTCGTTATCAAGTACGCATGCCAAATGCTTTGCACCTTTTATGGCTCTGACCCATATAATTCGATTTTCGTAAGGAAATAAATGCGTTGCAGGGGCATCAATAAGGTGAATGTTTTGACATGCTGTTGGAAAATTCACTGTCCTCGAAGAAATCCTGCGTGCAGATCTGCAACAAACCAAAGGAATTCATGGAGTTCTGTTCTCTCAAAAAAAGGAAATTTTCACTGCTCTAAACTCTTGTAAATCTTATTCTACACTTTATTTTATAAACATTGGAGATTTTTTAAAATTTACGCGCAAAGATATTATTTTATTTTTGAGCAATCAAAATGAGAGTTACTTGAACGGTAGTTTTGTCTTCTCATGTCATTGGTTGAAATACTTTGATTTCAAATGGAGAAAACAGTCCAAAGTCAGCCTTATGTATTAGGTAGATACAAAAATAATGCATGTTCCTTGTCCCGAAGCGGGAGAAAAGATAAAAAAAATTGTATAAAATACATTTTTTGGTACAGCAGAGCAAGCTCTGCAAGATAGTTGTAAACAATAGCAAAAAAGGTTTGATCTATGAAGTTCGTAAAAAAAACTAGAAAATTTCGAATACTCAAAGTTCACATTTCCGTCCAAACACATCGTAAATGGAAATTGAAAAATAAGTCAAAAATTCAAAAGTGTCGCCGTCCTTTTTCTTATATTGAATTTGATATTCCTCGACAACTAGCGCTCGAAAATGGCCGAAAATCTATTACTATATTGTCAAAGGCTTGTAGTATGAAAATTTCTATGTCAGGACAATCCAGCTTTGATTTTGCTATGACATGCCGAAAATCATTTTCTCATTTCTCATTTCTCGCCATGAAAGTAATACAGCGAATGTACATATGCACAGCTGAAGTGACAAATAATTTTCTGGAATCGGAGGTATCTATGTAGATTTTAACGGGAGACGGTCAAGAGGAGCGATTTCTCTGGCTGTCACCAACTTAAAACCCCAGTTTTATGCTATGCGAGTCTTCGAGAAGCACCAGGTAAAGTGCATTAGCTTACAATCTGTCTGAGGTTACCATTTGCTGAGTTGGTGGCTTTTGCTGGGTAGGAACGACCACCTTAATTATCTACCGCCTCCGCAGCCTGCTGGTCCTTCCGTCCTATTGTTGTGCATCGTGTTGGGACCAGTAGTCCGAGGAGGCGGTGCCTGATTGAGGTGTTCGTTCCTCCACCCGCTTTGCTGGGAAACGGACCGAAATATTTACGAATTTGTTCTCAACTGCATTTTCATGGGTTTTTGACCTTCAAAATTGCTGTTTTGAATGATTCCAAGGTATTAAGACTGAACAACCCATGCAACTATCTGATATATCTTCTTCTAAAATCTGAATAAATTTAAAAAAATTATGAAACAATTATTATTATGTGCTATTTGGTATCCATCTGGCAATAAAAATCGCTCCTCTTGACATAGGCCCGATTTTAACGGGGAGATCCAATTTTCGGGGATTGGAGAATTTTTAGTTTTTTCTTCCTTATAATCCGTGTGTCAAACCATTAAGAATAATCAAACACCAACTAGTAGGGCTTCCTTTGCGCTATCGAATGATACGTTCTATAGAATTCTATACCTTTTTTTTCACTTAAGGGTGAGTAACATGCATTATGCATCAACCTAATAGTGTGGAAGAATTACGGCTCGGAAAATGCTGAATGATTTGACAGTTAACCCCCATTCTGTAGTCTTTTACCTTCCCGCGCCCTTCCTTACCTCCCGTGCTCCGCCCTCCTTCGGCCGTCCTTCAGCAAAGAAACGAAAATTTTTGGAAGCCTTTTTTCTCTGCTGTAAAATGCAAGTCGTTGCTCAGCGTGAGCACCATGGTTGCCACGTGTATCCACACACGTATGCCAACGTGCTGTCGAACCATGAAACTATACATAGTGTTTGCCGAATGCTATCGATTCGCCCCCTTATTATCTTTTTCCAAAAACATCCCCCCGTGCAGGTCTGATACAGCTCATATGTGGGAGAGTGGCTGGTAGAAATATGGAAATCTGTTCAGATACGACTCCTACTATGTTCGGTGCAATTTCTGAGCATGTTTTTGTTAGTCGTGGAACACACAGGGATGCCATTTTTGGTGAGAGCAACAAATAAGGTAGGTGACATTATTAGGTAGTTATATACCAATCGTATGTCTCGAAATTTCGCGTCACTGTACCTGTCCCAGGTCATAATTTACCTGAAACCTAGTCTGCGTAACCTCCGTCTACTAGGACTTGAACTTATTGCGTATTCATTTTTGCGAAGTTTCTTTCTCTCATCGTCTTTTAGCTCAAATTATTTGTGTCTTACTAGCACTGGTTTGATTTACTCGGCTTTCTTATTTTGTTCCAAATAACTCTCTGAAAAGGTGTCATAACGTACAGTCGTTTAAGAATTTCCAAAACAAATTCTCTGTATTTTTGATCGAAGAATTATGCAATCGAATTTGGATCTCAAAACTTTGTCGAATTTGATTACCATGAAATTCAGTTCAGCATATCATCTTTGTCTGTTAGGTCGGGCAGAGTTCACGCGATTTGATCGTCGCGATTCATTCGCGACAAGACAACTGTTACGAGTTCATTGCATGCCGGCTTGCGTTTCGGTTGTGATACTTTTCCAGACCGAAATTTTTGAATGTAAAATGAAAAAATAGAAATCGCGGCGATCAAATCGCGTGAACTCTGTCCGGGCCTTACAGTTTCATAGACTACCTTCCACTGTATTTATAGGGGTTCATTCTCTGACTAGAACCGTAGCAGGTCTGCCCAATAGATGAAGTTGCTCATAGCTGAACAGAACAAATACGTACAGAACGACAAGTGCAGCTTTATTATTTTATGCATCTTCAAATCCACATCTTTCGAGAGATTATCGAAGTAATTGATGTTGTAATGCAACAAAAACTTTTGCGGAACTGTTCTGTAGTTGAGTTAAAGAACATCAACTCTTTCCTCTCTTCGCATATTCTATTCTGATATTTGGGACATTTCTCCCAGACACTGGGTTCGCAGGAATTTTGTAAATGTATTGCCTCAGATCTGGAGAAATTACTATTTCTGGCGCTGAATGGTTTCTGACGTAATCTATTAAGATTTTCTGAACGAGGCTGTCACAAGATTCAAACTCCGCATTATAGTAGCTAAAACGGCGGTCCACGAAATTTTGTCCGGGGGAAGAAGGGACGAGACAAAAAAGTGGTTTCTAATGAGTGGACGTGGCTACCATCCTCTCAAGAATTTTGTGATGCTTTCAATAATTTTGACGCCTCTATAAAACCGGCTAGGTCCGCCACAGCGATAGCGTAGAGAGTAAGCAAACATCGCCACGCTGAATCCCACATGTAATCCGAGGACCACAAATAAGAATTTTTTCCTTACGGGAGGCCCAAAAAGTTGAACGATATTTCAAAAAAGTGGGGTATGTTTTAACTGCGCGGTTCAGAAAGGCAGCCAACATGAATGGTAAATTTTGACAGCTGCAAACACTGCAAAGAATTCGAAAATGTTGAGCTGGAAGCTCAATAAGCTCTGTTCCTTACTATTAGAAGTACCAAAACTTCAAGACTTCCTTTTCCTTTTAGATCTAGTGACTAAAACAATTTACCTCTACTAATTATACAGTTGCATGATTGGGAGACTGAGCGCCTATAGACGCGAGCAGCCAAATATAAAAGTTTAATTTTTTGCGTTTTGTTGGCTGGTACATAGTCGGGATAATGCTAGCTTTTTTTCTGAAAAACGCTCAAATCACAAAAGGTTCTTCTTAAACGATCTAATTGCTCGTGGATTTTTCGCGAGCTTTGCAGGTTTGCTGAAGGCCGCACGCTCCTACGAATTATGGCTTAGCGCATAATCACCCTTGAGATGGACGGAGGTGGAGACTCTTTCCTTCCCAATGACAATGATCATAGGCTGAAAGATTCCTCATAGCATGGTCCTCCACAAATTTGCAGAGATCGCAAAAATCTGCGAGTTTAGAGGTTGTTGAAAATGAAGATGCTTACGGTTTTCAATATAAAAAAATATAGAGGAAAGGTACCTAAGACAAAGGTTATACTTGGCTTTGATTGTGGTGTGGAGCCAGAAGTTCCGCAATAATGGTTCTTATATTTTGATCGAGAGTTTTAGAGGCTGTGAAAATTTTGTACCACGCATGATTGAGTTTCTGTTCTCTCAAATGGAATGTACAAGTGCGATGCTGTCAAAACTCTAATAATAATCATAAACGCAGTTTTCCTGAGTTCGAACGAACCGCAAAAAATTACTGTATCTTTTTTAGGGTTTTGTTTCTTCTTTTGAGCGAGCATATGCGATCATTATCGCGCTCTCGAATAGAAATTTGGGTAATTTTCCTATCCGGACCCATTTTTTCAAAGGCCTTCATAAAATATGTTCTTTAACCCATTGACGACGATGTGGACCACCGGTAGCCCACGCCCTTTTTGCTGCCACGATGTGGACCACCGGTGGCCCACGCACTTTTTGCTGCCAGGGACGATGTGCACCACCGGTAGCCCACGCCCTTTTTGCTGCCACGATGTGGACCACCGGTGGCCCACGCACTTTTTGCTGCCAGGGACGACGTGGACCACCGGTGGCCCACAACCCTTGCAAAATCATATGCTTTCCAGGTCCAGTATTTTTTCCACAGTTCAGTATTTCTTCTAATTCTCTGCTTTCTTGGAACCTGTGGACTTCGTCGTCCAAGAAGATAATTCTCGTTTACAAAACAACTTTACATCTTGTGAATAATCACAAAACTTTCCCAAGCTGAAAGTGTTGTGCAAAATCGTGTCGTCCCACAGCGCCGCCATGCAGAATGGGGAACGGTCAGGAGTCACGGTCGGCGCGAATTTTTCGCGAAGCGATGCCGCAAGCGATGTCAGCAAAACAGAAGCCAGCACTCCTGGCGCAGTCTTACTTATGGCACGAGCCATGTATCTGCCCCCACCCCCCCCCCCCTAGACTGGCGCCGTGCCACTTTAACACCGGGCAGTTTTATGGGGTACAAAATTTAGACGCGACGTGCGCGGCGAAGCGGCGCGGCGCGCGGTGTGACTCCTGACATGGAGCCCCCTGCCACGCGTCAGAAAAAAGTTAACATGTTTTTGTCCATTTTGACATTTTTTTCATAGTCATTTCCGGTGAGGGAGGTAGAAGAGCACTTGTAACCACCTGATAACTGTTTTATAAGAACAAAATAGTCTAGAACTGATATTAGAAAATCTTGGTTGCTTTCAGCAAGGATTCAAAAATGTCTTTTCCTTCACACTCTTTCCACCACGCAAATTTAGCCAGGAAAGGCTATACATGATGGCTTGAAGTACATCGCTGCTGCTTATTGCGTCACTTAGATGATGAAACCCTAGCGCCCATCTCATTTCGGGCAGCTCTAATCTGTCCAGTGACCATAGATGACGTCATTATTATGTTAATGTTCATTTTTGATAGCTTAATAGGAATTGAGGGCATTACTGGCCTAGTCCACTGACGACGACTGGACCACTGGTGCCACACCTCTTGCAAAGTCTATCATTTGTAGGCCTAGTATTTTTTCTACATATCATGGAAATGTACCCAAATTTGATTATTCTATCATGGACTTAATAGAATATACCGACGGGAGTTTTTTAATAGCCTTTTGATAGCGTTGTTATTAGACCTCAACTTTTCTTCATGATTTAATTCTATTGCGACTATCATTTACAGAGTGTCCCAAGAAGATGTGCACATTGGTCGTTATTAATCCTCTTGCTTTCATGTCTTTTGCCGAGCTTGAGGTACCATTCTTGAGAGCGAGGTTCATCTTAGATTTACAGTATGGAGCGATTCACCAAATAGTCTTCATTACTGTAAGATTACGGTATGAACTTTCAGCATATAGCGTCAATGTGGATTAGGCCTTTTGATGAACTAATTCAAAAAAAATTTGAAAATTTGCGTAGCAGGGTTTTCGGGTGTGCTGATTTTACAACATAACTTTCCACCACTTTTTCGAGCTTTCTTGATGGCGTAATCACATTTCTGACGAATATTGGAAAAACAGCTGCTACTAAATCTGAATTGACTTCTGAAAGAAGCACTATACTGAAGTGCAAACTTCATATAAAATCAGCAACATCGATTGGCCCAGTTCAAGAGTTTCTGGCCTACCGTTTCCTACAGTAGAAAAGCAGATGATAACTCGCTCCATACCGTGAATCTCAGCTGCCTCACTCTACAAAATGGTATCCTCAGCTCGGCAAAAGACATGAGAATAAGAGAATTTTTAACGATCAGACAGTGTGCACATCTTTTTGGGACACCCTGTATCTTCTAACGTCCCCCACTTTCTACATCCTGTGTAGATCTGTAAATCAGAGCGAGGAATGTTACATTTGTCGAAATAGGCATCAGATAACTGCGATATTATGGCGGACCATAGTCCAAATCTCACCAAACCCATACCCTTTATAACGGTATCCAGATGTGTACTGATCTTGTATCGATCTATTGTCCAAATCCCTGCAAGAAAGCTAATGCTTGAAATTGAACTTGTCATGATGTTTTTTTAGGATAAGGCGTTCTTACCAACAACATGCGTGTTTTTCATGGAAATAATCAAGATGACGATCTGTTCCTGCGTGATATTCTATTCCAGCGGAAGCCCTACAGGGTTAGCAACAGCTCTCACATAACTTAGACAAGCAGTATTTTCAGATTCTTACAAAAAATGCACAGCACTTTATGGGTGAACAGGATCGAAAGTCTCAAGGTGAATCCAAGATGAAACAAGCAATAGCCCTTATTTACTCTAAACCTCAGGTCTCGGTACCTGCGTTCGCTTATGCTCTGCAAAATAACCTCTACTATATTGCTCTAGGAAACGTTGATGCCACTACCTATACAGTAGGTGCATTTCATGCTCAACTGGTTTTGTTCACTTGACTTTCTTTAAACGCTCGTTTTCGAGCTTTAGATCACTTACCAATTGCGAATATTGACAACAGCCATATTATCAGTCGTGATGTTAAAAAAGGAGATATCCGTTTGTCAATGGGGAGCACTGACCCTATCAGGTATAGGCGTCATACTGGTACAAGTGAGTTTGAAATTATGGTATAAAAAAGTGTTCCGTATTTGGCTACCCTAAACCTGGGGTATTCGTTTAGTGCAAAACTAATGCGCTTTTCGCCAGTTCGGGATCGGCCATACTATTCCTGCTATTCCTACGACTCCTACGATTCCTGTCCGCACAGTTTAGACGCAGCTTAAATGAGCGCGTTTTGCGTAAAACAACACGTAACACGCAACACGCGCTCAATTAAGCGGCGTATAAACTGTGCGGGACTCACAGGAATCGCAGGAATCGCAGGAGTCGTAGGAATAGCAGGAATACTATGGCCGATCCCTTCCCCATTCGACTGCTATAACTTTCTAAGAACATTTTTCAATGCGATAATGACCAGGGCATGGCATAGGTGGTTTACAGGGCAAGCTGGATGTTGTTTCGGGGTAAAAAGCAAGGGGGATATCGTTCAAGGATAACGCAGCCATTCCCCCCTCCCTCCTCTCCCCCACGTGTACTCTCTCCCTCGTATGTCAACCTTCATTTTCTATGGAGGACATAGATTGTCATCTATCGATCCCACTCCTGCAAAACCCAAAAGATTCTGTTTCAGCAGGTTCGTCGGTTAAGCACGCTAATTCAAAAACCTGCCTCGAAGTAAACAAAAGCCTTTTTTTACAGCGAAGAGAAAATGAAATGACACCAAAATTGGTGTGTAGATGGGCAATAGGGAGTTGGAACTATATATATAAAAAATTGTGAAAAAGTTATGTTAACTGAAGGCGTGGCAAAGTTTTTTCGGAGTTAGGTGGCTTTCCAGCCTCTTGGACAGCCACCTAAAATGGCTGTGAAAAAAGTCATAAATTTCCCTTCCTTCCCATAATTTCCTCACATGTTTGACGCAACTTTGTTCCACATCAAAAACTCTACAAAGGAATTTCTGAATCTCCCCAAATTTCCTCCTCCTAGCTTAGTTACAGTCCTTGAAATATGTTGTATGACGGCGGCAAGCGTGCTCCAAGCGCAAATGTACGCGCCGGATACAGCATTCCACCAGTTCGCAAAATACGAATTTCTTTAGTTCTTTTCCTTCTGTGCAATGTTGTTTTTATGTTTTGTCCCATTTTGTTATTCGTCAGATTCCGTCCATAGGTGATGTCGTATTTTTGCGTCGAAGTCCATGAGGATTCGTTTTTTGAAAAAATGAAGAAGCCGCCTTATGCTGAGCCCTGATAAGGACTATTAAACGCAGTAAACTAAACCTTTCTTAATACAGCGCACATCCATTTATACTTATATCACAAAGGGGCGGGCAGAAGATTGATATGCAGGAAAAGTTACCTTTTCAAAACCTCGTTTTTAACTGATCATAACCTCCTCCAAAATTTGTCAGTATAAATGATAGGTAACCTACCTAAAATGTAGCCGCAGTCCAGTAGTACAAAAGGAGGCAAAAAGGGCTTGATCGAAGATGATCGAAATGGAAAAAATCAAAATTAGCTGTTAGAGTTTTCAGTTTTTTTTTTGCAGGCTCCAAACTCCTAAAATGTGAAGTTTTCTAATTTTCTTCGTACTTTCGTAATTTTTTTCGTATTTTCGTGAACAGCTGAAAGTTTTTCCAAAGTTGAAAACAAGGAGGCGCCTACCCTTACTTCAAAGAAATGAGTGAAGCGATTGCCTTCTTTAAAAAAGTTATCAGCCACAGAATGACCAGAACGTTACTCATATTGAGGCGCCGTTATCTCAGTCTACCTAATCCCTAAGAAAATAGTAAAGCATGCCATGCAGCAGCTGCATTTTCAAAAAAAGCCTTTATTCGCTTGAATTCTGGCCAGAAAAGCAAAGGCAGTGTAATTCTGGAATTGAGTGCGGTTGTGTGAAGTTCTGTAAATCACGAATAGGGCCAGAAGCCCGTTTCAACCATCCTTGGATAGAGCATGAAAAGAGCTTCTTGATATTATGCTAACTCTTTCGCCAGAAAAAAGTTTGATGGAAAAAAGTTGTCTTGAAACAAGGACTACAAAACGCGCTTCAGTTTTGCACCAACCCAATAGATAATTCACCCAGAAATGTGCAAGGAGCCTGATGTCTCTTGCATGGCAATGATGTGTATCGTATACTGTAGCATACTGATTAGTATAGACTGAATCTTGATATTTTTTGGAAAAAGGAGCACGGGTATATAGAAAACACAAGTTGGACTGGGGCTTCTTGCGCACTTTCTAGCAAATTCTTGTCTTGCGATTACTTTAACGTTTGGTGGAGGGGGATTGACAGAAATTGTTTTTGAAAAGGTTTGGAATATGTTAAATGTTTTTGTCTTCTGAACCATAGTTGCGATAGGGGGAGTGATGGATCTTACCCCCTTCACTTTGAGGCCAAACTCCCGATGACCCCCTTCACCTGGGCTGTGGTGTTGTACTCTGAGAATATGATAAAAATCGTTATTAAAAGGTTTTGCAGGCTAAGCACCTCAAACAACAAGTACACTCACAAATCTGCTAAAGAAGCGGTATTTATGTTTATTTATATCATTTATTTATCCTCGTAGCATTTTGGAGAGCAGAAAGTGAGGACACAAAATCAGTTAATTTTTGAAGCACATAAAATCCCTCATATCTCGCGGCACAGAAGACCTAGAAAAAAGTCGACGGTCTACGTCGATTCTCCATGATCTCAGCTTTCGAATGGTATACAGCATGTTAGAGCTTCTTTGCTTCCCGGCTCTAAAAATCATTTGCTTCGGTGACCCATAATAACCAACACATTGTACAGGTCGTCCCGAAAGTTTTTGCGCACGATTTTCAAAAATTCATAACTTCTGATTTTTCCAACCGATTTGGCTGCTTTCACTTTTATGTGAAAGAATAAGTCATGATCTTTATAATGACATCTCAGCTGCTTAGTAATGGTCATCTGTTGCATAGATAGAAGCTCGAAATCAAAATCACTCAAAATTTGATTTTTTGTGTAGGGTCATAAAAAATCAGAAACTTGCAACAAAAATCGGAGCAGTCGGTATTAAGGTTCTTTCACTAGCTCTTTCTAAAAGTGCAAAGTTTGCTCCGATTGAGCGTCTCCATGAAAAGTTATGATTTCCGAGCAAGCATTACAAAAAGGCGAATTTGATTTATTTTGGCATTTTTCAGTAAAATCATAACTTTTCATGGAGATGCTCTATCGGCGCAAACTTTGCACTGTTAGAAAGAGCTGGTGAAAAAACCTACAGTACTGACTGCTCCGATTTTTGTTGCAAGTCTCCGATTGCTTATGACCCTACACAAAAAATTAAAATTTTTACCATTTTTCTTCTATCGCTCCTATCTATGCAACAGATGCCCATTACCAAGCAGCTGAGATGTCATTATAAAAAGCATGACTTAACCCTTTCACACAGAAGTGAAAGCAGTCAAATCGGTTGGAAAAACCAGAAGTTATGAATTTTGAAATTCATGCGCAAAAACTTTCTGGACGACCTAATAAGAGCGAGGTGGAGCAAGTTAGTAGTATAAAATGTGCTGTGGATTGTCATCGTTATCAGCACTAACGGGAACGTGAGCGAACGCGTCTAGTTGAGCGTGCTTATCGTTGTTGTATGTTTATGTTTTTTTTGGTAAAAAATGCGCTTTTGATTGACAGTTATGCCATCATTATTAGCACAAAAAACTATGGGAGATAGGCGAATTTCCACACCTTCACACAAAAACCTGCCCATTTTTGGAATCTATACTCTGTAAACCTAGTGCTGAAGAAGGTCACTCTTGTGAAAACGCTCTAGACTCACCTTACCTTTTGTAGAGAATGGTTGGTTTCAGTGAATCAAAAACTCTAAGACATTCAGAAGAATAACATGTTATTAAAATATCCCTCAATGTTTTGGAAAGGTTGGCAGTTTGAAGAGGAAACGGCAGGCAGAATACTTTACAAAATCGCAGATGACTTGCATGTGTTTCAGTTCAACAGCGAGGCAGAAGGAGAACCTTGAGCCGATGAAAAAGTTGTATTGATACAGAGTTGACAATTGAGCAAAACTCTCTGATTTCCTGCATAAGGAATCCAAGCAGAATGTCTAGTTTCAATGAGGAAATGTCCAGGAAGTCCATTGCTGATCTTCAGGTTGCTGAAGAATTCAAGGCTGCTGAATTTACAAACATGGATATGAACAAAAGGAAGGTGTTAGTACAAAGCATAGTTACTGCACTTAGATCCCGGCTGGAGTGCGTACCCAACTCTGTGCTTTATGCTTTTGGAAGTTATTCGCCTTGTGACATTATGACCTATGATATGAAGAAAACCAACGCGCAGCATAGTACCTCCTTTTTTCGGCTATTCCGCAGATGCTGTTAAAGAAGAAGTTGAGCAGCTTTCTAATCAGCTAACAGGACGTATGCCAGAGGAGGTGAAGCCAGAGTTCGACGAGGCCCAAAAAAGTATGCACTATTTCCTTTCCGTGTTGCGAAAGCATATGCGATCTGGCTCTTTTCCCATTACTTACCGCAAAAATCTGTTGGACTTACTAGCAAAGCTAGTTTCCATGCCGACTAGCACGGCAGAGGTGGAGAAAGAAATTTTCTATCTACTCTGTTATCAGAACACAACGTAGAAGTCGTACAACGATAGAGCATCTAAGCTAATACTTAAGATTTGTCAACATTCTACTAAACACATTGTTATCCAAAAACTTCATTTGAAAAAATTGGTATAAGTGGTCCAGGCAGGCTGTTACCGTATGACTTTTTGAAATATCCTAAAAGATGCTATGAAGAAATTGGTCACCTACCTGCTACCTTCCTGGTGCTACCAGAGGGCCAGGAAAAAAATCACAAAAGCGCTTAGAAGAAGAAGAAAGTTTTAAATCCATTTTCGACTCAGAACGCTTTTGCACGCAATTCTACTTCTACTCCGATGACCTTTTGGAGGAAGAAGATTTTTCAGGCAGCGAACTTGTTGTCTCTGACGTTGGCGATAGTGATATTGTTGATGATGATGTGCAGGAAAAGTTGTTCCTAACTTGTGCATCTTTTGGGATAAACCTTATTGCTTTCGTTTTTTGTTGATGCAGTGAAACAGGAGCACAGATCTTCATAATCAAATTTTTTAAAATTTTTTAATTTCTTTTGAAAATTTGTAAATTTTTTTCAATTTGTGCCTAAATAAGGTACAAATTAAAGCTCTTCATACCACGCTTTTTTAACTTTTCTGTCTTCCTCCCCCCCCCCTCCCTAGACTCACATACCCCCTTCACCGTGGAAGGTCGAGAACAGCCGAGACCCCCTTCACCTGGGGAGAGCCCGGCTCCCCCTATCGCACCTATGTTCTGAACTCGAGTTTGTAAAAAAGATACGCTCCAAAAGAATTTTTTTCTAAGGAACGTGAATTCTATGGACTCAGTTTGTTGAAAGTTGTTAGTACGTATAAATCTTGAACTAGTTACAAGTTTCGGAATCTCTATAAAACTGGCGTGCTAATTAGATGCATGTTTTTTCACGAGAGCCTTTCGTGCTTACCTTTCGTGATCAGCTTGCCAATATCCCTTTTTTCAGATGGATGTACTCAGCACCCATGTGAAGTCTGATGGAGGAGTGAAATGGCTTGGAATACTTGCCACCATAGGAATGTGCTGGACAAGCGCTTTTGCTGGTAAGTGCTGAAACATTTTTCAGCAAGTTTTACAAGAAGAAAAAACAGACATTCTGCAAAGAATATTTTTCGGGTATCTACAAGTGTCTTTTCAATCTCTCAAGATAACCTACGAAAGTGTTCACTTGTGCGAAATTACGTGATACGTGATCGCATCCATTATCTGGAGAATAAAATTCGAAATGTTCAAAATACAGTCTTTGTTGGGCGCTGTTTCTCTCTATAGCTTGTCCGGAGAATCGGGATTTGAAATTTCTGCCCACAACATGTGCAGTCATGAATTCAGAAGTTGTGCAGTGTCATCTGCGAAACTTCCGCAAGTCAAGAAGAAAAAACAGCTACCACCTGGTAGGAGGAAGCTGCATCCAAAATTAGGTTATCCTAAAGACGATGTCGCATCAAATGCTCTCACGGCGGAATGAATAAGATCAAAGTGAATGGGACACCATTTGAGGGCGAAACAAGCTCTACAAGAGGGAGTAAAGAAATCAGCGAAAACTCTGTTTAATATGGAGTATGAAGTCAAAATATAAGACATTCCGAACACTTAAAAAATCTCTCATCTCTGTCCGTAAGATTACTGCGAACCTCAGTTTTCATAGACATATGCTATCTACATTACACATTTATACAGTTATCTTTTTCATGGCAGGATTAAGAGGAACAAAAATATCTAAAAAAAAAAAGAAAATATCTCTTTTCAGATTTAGAAAGCGCTTGTAGAAAACTAAATCATGATCATACTTCCAAAGGTCCATACTATCGCTTACATAGGTAAAGCTCAGAACTACTGTTTCAAAGCATGTTAAATTTCGTTTTCTCAATTCCTAGCAGTGAAAAAATTGCAAGGGTGGGCATAATTGTGTTCGATGCAGAGAGAAATGCGTGAGCAAGCTGGGAGTTTCCAGCATTTTTTTTTGTGAAAAAGGTAGTTTTTTGGTACTTCACGCTTTTGAAGCCGTTCAAAAATTAGTTCCAAACTTCATCTAAATCAAGCTTAGTGCGAATGTCCAAACTACATTTTGTAGAGCTTGCTTTGCTCTATCAAACACTACCTCAATAACTTTACCTTGCTGCATCACTGCGTAATAGCATATGATGCGAGGTTATTTTTGGGACAACCTAATGCTTTATAGATGCTTATGTTACCCTCAGTCCACATGGTTCTACGATAGGTCAGATAGTACTTTCAAGTGGCTTATTAGTTGCTGGCAAACGGACAACCATTTCAGTTTAGGTGTCTACTTCGAGAAGATGCTCAAAGGTGGAAATAGCAACATGTTTGTTCAAAATCTTCGTCTTAGTATAATGACCCTGCTGTTTGCATCTTGCACAATGTGGACTAGCGACGGGACGAAAATAATGGAAAGTGAGCATTCTACTACTGAGTGATTGGTCAAAATCAACCGCTTTCCACTGCATATGCAATGCTTTGCATCAACAGAAAGGGATTAAAGTTTTAGTCGCGTTTTATTTCCAGAAGGTCTATTCCAAGGATGGACAAGGCTTGTATGGACGATGGTAATTTTATCGGCATTGGGTGGGATAGTCGTATCTGCCGTGATGAAATATGCTGATAATATTAAGAAAACATATTGCCAGACATTATCAATAGGTCAGTTCTTACAAGCTGTCTCAATAACAGTGTCCCACTTCAGCAACTCGTGTCTTAGCGGCCGCCTCGCTCGGGCCTGTATCCATCGCGAACATACATATCCTTTGAGCATTTTTCCAAGATGAGTTGCGCTTAAACGCTGGCGGGCGTATAAGTGCCCGGAGGGTACATTGCTGACGCGATGCAAGGTCCGAGCGAACACCGAACCGCTGCAGCTATGACACTGTCATTGAGACAGCCTATATGTATTTCTATGGCAGGATGTATCCTCATGCTTGCAGGACTCACAGCCATGATTTCTGTGCTCATAGGGGAACGTTTGCTAACTGTGAATCTGGTGACAGGAGTAACTATCGTCATGGTTTCTCTGGCTGCTTATGCTTTTTATCCCCCAACCCATCCACCAGCCACTCCTTCGAATAATCTTTCAAAAACGCGAGAGTACGAACGCTTTGTTTAACATTATCTCGTTGTGTTCATGCTCAAGTAGATTTATCACATCTTATTATTCACATTCCTTGCAACATTCCGTCTTTCAAAATCACTCAGATGACCAACATGATTTTGGAGCAAAAAAAATGTAACAGTTGTCTAGTCTGAATGGGTTCTCTCTAATTTATAGACACCCATCATCCTATCATCTGCTTTATGGTGTCTTACTTCAACGATGTCAGTTCATAATCCAGATTTTACTGTTTGTAGCATTATCTTTACCACAATTTTTGAAGCGAGTGGCTTCGCTCAAGATGGTCATTTTTAGAAAAAGAACACTGTTATCGTTGTGCGAAAAAGGTCATGCGGTCAGACCGAGTTACTATCTTGAGAAGCTTACAAAATTGAACCCTTTTTAACACTTATAGGCGCTGATTAATAATATGAAGAGTAGCTGTGTTTAGGTCAACAAACTTAGAGAGTAAAAAGAAGTATTTGATTGAAACTAAATATTGTATTCATCTTTTACTCATTTTATCTCGAGGAGATTTTTCATAATGTTGTTAGGTGTATCATCCGGGAGCTAATCGGAATTTCTTTGTCAGACATTTGTACTAGTTCACATTTTGCTGAAAACGGCCACTTCAAGGAGAAAGCATTCTTTGATCAGCTGCACAAACGTTCTGGATATTTCTAGCTCAAAAGTGCAGACTATTCTGAAATTTGAAAATGGCCGCATGATATTTTTCAAGGCAATGATTCGTTTTTTCACGTGTGAAAGTTATAATTATGAAGAGCTTTGTATTCGTATCTGCATACCAATATTATCCGATAGCTTAATAAGGAATAAAGAAGTTGCATGGCTACATTTCTAGAATGAATAGTGATTAGTACTGAAAAGTGTAGGTATCATTGAATAATCTTTTTGATTCTGTTCCGATTTTAGTGATAAGAACCAAAAGAAACTTGAAGGAATGGGATCATCATCGTTCTCGGCTCTGGCACGATTGCAGGGGCACGCATTGAATTTTATTACATGTGTCTAAAATATCTTGCTTGCAGCGAATAGCGAATCATAGGGAACCTTATATGCCCAAGAGCAAAAGCGGTTTCCGAGATTATTTTATGAGGACAGAATGGCTTATAACGCGTCTTCAGGAATAATTTTTGGGATACTTCGCTAAATCTTGAAGGCCCACACCTTTGAAAACACGAGAAAAGAAGGCGTGATGCAGCCAACCCTTAAAAACCTCTTTCTAACAAGTCGAATCTAACTTTTGCCAAATTTGAAAAATCTTTCCAATAAATTCCATGTAAAAAAATGAGCCACCTTCCCCTTCACACTCATGTGCACCACTTTCCAAAGATTTCTCGACTCATTCTGGTGGGGGGGGGAGGGGGGGGGGATCACCTCCGTCATAAGCATCTTCGAAAATGTGTTAAAACTCATGGAATTTGTGTGAATAAAAAGCTTGACAAAATAAAAATGCTTGATTGGAATTGAAGATGGTTTGCGCTTCATCCATTCTATACCTTAAAGGCACCGTCCACCCAGATTCCCGACTTCCAGGTTTATGTCGTTTCAGGGCCTTTTCATGTCCCCTGATTCCAAAAATGAAGTCGAGAATCCGCGAAAATCCCGACAATCCCCGTTCCGGAGAACCAACAGACAGGCTTATCGGAACGGTGATTGGATGGGCGCTCATAAATGGGCGGGCATGGATGGGGAAGGGTGGGCATGGCTAGGGGTCCTCGCGCATCTTCCGGAGCGATTTTCTCGCTTCCGAAGCGACATTTTGCGCCGCGAGTTGGGCATGGCTTGATAGGGGGACCTACTATCATATGCTGCTAATAGCTCAAACCTCCAATTTAGGGTGGACGGTGCCTTCAAAACAAGGGAATGATTCGAACAGTGTTGCGTGGATTACCATTCGAGAACAGAGTTGGGAAGTCTCTGTGAGCAAAAAGAAGGAAAAGTGCATGTACAATACCGCTCATAGAACGTGCAAAATTTCCGTTTCAGAATGCCGTGAAATTCCGCGGCATTTTCAGAATATCGCCATAGCTGCCGGGTTGTATGGATTCTGCATCTGAAAGAAACGTTGTACACAGCTCATGGAGATGGATCTTTTGATACATAGCTCACCGAGCTGATTCTTTGGTACATCCCTTATCGTAATTCGCGGTACGGTAGGTGTACGGCAATAAATGAATTCTTTTGCGATTCGTCTAAAATTTTATGAGGGGGGGGGGGAGTAATTGATGGTACGTTGTGGTTGGTTTTAAAAAGTGCGAACAAGCCGTGATGATTTCGTCGATGCTGTTGTTTTTCTCTTTTATTTGTTCAGTATTTTCATATAGCAACTCTTCATTACTGTATAGAAAACGCCTAATGTATCCATCGAGCACCTCCCCTTCCCCCAGAAGCAGAATAATCTACCGCTTACCGTACATTTACCGTACCCAACAATTACGGTAAGCCGATCAAAAAATTGGCCTCGATGAGCTGAGTACCTCTGAAAAGTAAAGAAAACTCTGTTTCAACATATCTAAAAGCTGCCTCGTGCCTGACCCCGATTGTAGTATTATCCTGAGGGTCCTTCAGACGAAAACATTTGTGTAATTGCACCAAACACACCTATGCAATGTCTTTGATTCGGATAAGATGTCCTTCTCTTCCCTATAGCCTCACAAATTAGAGCTACAATCAGTGGCTCATAGCTCTCACTTTTTTGGCGTAAAAATGGGTTTTATTGAATGCTTGAAAATCACGTCCATCCCAGCAAGCTGAAATGTCTCTGGCCAAAAAATTTTCATCTTTCATTGACATCCTTATACACACATGAATACATACAAAAGTCACAAAAATCGCACGTGCAAGTTCTGACAACAATTTGCTCTTTCTATGTCAGGATAAAATTAACACATGAACCTTTTGGACCGAAACAAAGAAATAATTTTTATGTTTGTCAAACATCATTACTCTGGTATATCAGCTGCTCGAATGCACTTTTGCTAGTGTAAACCAACAAGATAAGTCCACCAATTTATCTTCGCCACCATCCGGCCTAATTTTCGCCAATGTTTGCTATCATTTCTCTATTAAGCGCAAACTGTCAGCGATGAACAAATCTACGAGGACAGTTTGTGATGCTAGGAGATCTTTGAACTGCAGAGTGACGGCTATCCCATCAAATTGACCTGATCTCGCATCAAAAATCTCGAGATTTTGATAATGGACTAGGCAACTGAAAGTGTGATGTACATTTAAAGACTGCTGATTTGATAAGGAAGGGTACATGGCTCATATTTTAAATTTTGGTAGTTTTTCGGAATTATTTTAGAGGTGCGTGTGAATATAAACTCAGCTCCTGACCGTTCGAAAAACTTCTTGCATAAATCTCTCCAACTGACTTATTTATTGCCAAAAAACTTTTCAGGATGTTATAACCTTCAAAGTAGTTTTCAAAAGATGACGAGTATTCAACCGAACAATTTAGCAGCTCAGATTATATCTCAAAGTTTTGTCGATCTTCTCTGAACAAATGCACAACTGTTCTTTGTCCATGCTAGAACGATGTGAGAAATATAATATTCCATCTGGGGAAATGAAAATTGACGATATTAATTGGTTCCTGCGTAGGCCTGTCTACAAGTTCGACCTCTTTCTTCTTCTAAGAAATACCACGAACTCTCTCAACAAAGGGTTGGTTGTCTCACAGTATCTGACTTATGGACTTATCTGACTTATCTGACTCACGCTGGTACATCTTGAATGCAGAACCTGGCACGAGTGTGGCAAATGTCAGGCTTGATGTCCTTTTATGAGGAAAAAGCCAAGGAGATCCGCAAACACATATGCTCGTATGCTCATCCACCCTTAGACATCTCCAGCCTCTTAACGATTGAGCTTTACACAACTGCCGTGCCCCCAAATGGATCTAGCTTAGGGCACCCTTTTTGAAACCGAGATTTCTCTCACTAATGATGAACAACTCGGTTACAGCGCACAGATGGGGATATGTAATTCGGTATTTACCAGACAAGGACTAGAACGAAGAATTTTGTAAATTCGTGGAGTTTTATGTGACCAAAGACCGTGCCCTCCATTTTACTAAAGACTTCCCACAACTGAGATTTATAAAAATGATTCGTTTGCAACGCACAAGTAACGATATGGCTCCAAATTTGGTGCTTGTAGCGTAGTGGGAATAGGAACAAATACGGTATGATATGAGAAACTTTTGTGAATGAAGCGTGTGCTTCAGTTTCCACAATAAGGTGGCAATTGCCACCCTAGTGGCACCCTGAAGGTGCTCTTCCATTACACATATTTTTATCATAATTTTTACATAGTGCACATCTACAAAGGGCACTACATAGTAGCATTTCAATTCCAAATTCGTCCATTCCTCTTGTAAATCGGAAACAGCAAAGACGCCGCTTTCGCAGGTGTACATTGCCACCTTTGTGCCGGGTCCTTCGCTTGTAAGAATAAAAATTGGATGAACAATACCAAATAGCCAAGAAGGGCTTGCAGATGAGTATTCTTTATGTGCAACCCTCTTCCGTTTAAAGTTGAAGTTTATCTATGGGAATTTTTTCGAGAAAAACTCATGCTTACACTGCGTCTGTCATGGGGATAACTTGGAAGTATGTAAAGAGTAGAAATCGTTGTAGACAATATTGGCAAAACTTATTATATCTCCAACGAAAATTCTCTGTAATAATTAGTTTTCTTCTTTCTATTTGCAGTTCGCAGCTCGCAGGTGCATGTGATATTCTCCAAATATAACAGACGAGCTGGCATCGCCGTTCTGGAGTCAGTCCATCGTGCTTGATCCCTCATGTGGCAAAATTAAACCTTCATTTGATTTCGACTCATTTTGCTTCCTACTGTCCTTACCATATCTTGATGATCAGCAGCTCAAAATGAGCTTCACCGCTCATCCTTCATGACTATGGAAAATGTGCACAAACAAACACACAGATTTTCTGCTTTATATATAGAGATAAGTGGAAAACGCGCACATGTAAGCGAAATTTTCTATCAGGAAAGTTTAATTCTGCATCGCATTTTGAGAAATTTGGCTTTGCATATGTTAACAATCTTGGCTTAGCAAATTCTAGAATAATTTCGTATTCATTATCAATAATTAGCACAGTAATCCAGTTGTAACCGTCTCATAGCGTTCATAGAATCTTGAGCTCAGAGACCAGGGCTCGGCACGAGCTGGCAGTAGGAGTTTTTCAGAACGAAGTCTCCCTTGACTTCCGCGATTTTTTACGAAGTCCTTTTCCCCTTAAACGTAAAAAAACCCCAAAAAGCGAAACATCGTCTAAAGAAACGACGCAATTTTTGGGTCTCTCTGCTTTTTGTCCCAAAAACGATATCCAGCTTACCTCGTGCCAGCTGGTGCCAGGCCTTGTTAAAAACTCATTTCAATGCGTGACCAAAATGTCGATCTGTTTGAAGAATCTTGGAAATAATTTTCTAGTGCGTTCCAGATATAAAATTGCAGAAGGTGGTTGATGCTACGAATGTTTCTAACTAATAGAGACAAAATGAGCAGTGGTGATTTACCAAAAAGTTATCGAACTCCATAGGTTGATTCGTACAACATCTAGATTAAGAAAAAACCATCTGGGTGTGCGCAGAACTCCATAATGTGTATCATATAGGTATAAGCCGGTAAATGAAAATTTAATTCGTATTTTTTTTTCAAATTAGGGAAAAGAAAATGTTTAAAATCTTCTTTTAGATTACTCCTAGTCTTTATGCTTTTTTGTTTACAAATAGTTATGATTTTCAAATTTTCTTCTCTTGGTAATTTGTTCTGCTACTTACATACTTTCTATTTCTGATATGCAACATTGCAATAATGTAGGATAGATCCAAACATTTTCAGAGCATTTAAATATAATTTTTCACACAATTTTTGACTCAAGACTCAAGGATCAACCTAATAAAATTGGCTAATAGAGAGGATGTAAGAGACGTCATCTTAAATTTGAACTTGTTTTGATCACGACAGCAAAAGACTCTCTGACCATTGAGGCCATTAATCTTCGGCGCTTAGTGAACTGCACGCATTCGCATTCGAGTGTAATAGTGCATTTATTATCACGAAGCAGTATACATCAACAATAAGAGAAACACATGCCTGAATAATGGACTGAGCACAATGGGAGAAGGCATGCACAAATACCATGAAAGAAGTTAGTGGGTTCACGTACCCTTAATCATCACAACTAAACGCATATGTACAACGTTAGAATATAAGGCGAAAGACAGTCCTGACTAGCTAGACACATCCTTGGATGTGAAACCCGCACAAGCTCTTGAGATAGTCGACTACTCCTAGACCACTTGCTCTTCGTCGTCACTGAAGTGAACCAGCCGAGGCGAGGCATTACCTCTGGCACTGCTGGGCCTGCTTGGACCCTCAACCTGAATGCTGGGAACAACAGCTTTCTCGGCGGGGGCTGCGACACTGATTTCCGCATTTTCCAGTGATTTCACCGATTTCTTTGAAGGAGTTCGTTTTGGTTTGTCAGCCTTGCTCTCAGACTGAGCAGCCTCTTCCTTAGACGAACCAGCATTGTCATCTTCTTGGGTGGTTGATTTTCTCGATGGTGATCGCTCGGAAGTCCTCCTTGAACGGAAACTGCCGCGAAATGAACCCGATGAACGTCTCTTTGCATAGAACTGATCGATTACATAGTTTTCTAGGAGCGTCACCTGGAAAAAACTGATGAATTTCAAAATCTTGAAAAAAAATTGAAAGTGCTTACTTTATCGACAGATTTTGCAAACTCCACTTCATCCAAGACTCGATTGTCGAAATTGTCCGCATCTGCCAGAGATTCTCGGAATAGCTGACTTGTCGGGTCGTCCTGTAACGTAGTATTACAGTATACATCGTATTACAATCAAGAGCACTTTTGTAGAATTTGGAATAAACAGGCACAATATCTCTCTCATGAAAAAAATCTTTTTGGGAATATACGATCAAGTGAAGTCCAAAAAAACACTTATCGCAGGAACTTGCCAGAGAATTAAATGGCACTCCTACTTCTTTCCTACAACATCCTCCATCTACCACTTTTCACTGATTAGCCTTAGAGAATCAGTCTATTATACAGTTAAATTCGTATACCAGGCAGAAAGGAAATTATAATCTTTTTCTTTTCTTCGTGACTCAAGCTATTTTTAAACCAGCTCAAAGAAACAAAAATCAGAATATGTGAATCTGCAGACTGAAGTATTACTGCGCTGTACAACCTATCATATAATCATGCCTGTCCTTTTCTCTTTTTCGATAAAAAATGTCTTTCCCTCAAACGTATTTTGAACTCCAGGCCAGGCAAAAATGATAGAAACTTTATAGATGAGAGAAAAGGCTTTAGATATGCAGGGAGTTTCGAGAAGTTTCAAAATTCAGAGAGACGAACTTTAACGCCATCGAATTTGAATTTGGTGAATCATCAACTAAGAATCTGGATAGGTTCCTATTTCGCAATGATTGTGCAGTCAGATTTTTCGCTCAATATAGTGCGCGTGCGGACGGGAATGGGCGATCAACTTTGCGCGTGAACAAATAGCCACACCACCTGCAGGCATTTTGCGCGCGCAAGTGGCCAGCATAACAGGCATAGTTACTTGCTCACGCGCAAATTTCACCGCATTTTCTCGGCACCGCAAGCACACTGTATTCAGCGAAAATTCCACTATGGTGTATTGCTCGAAAGATGATACTTGACTAGCTTCTTATCGTTTCATCGTATTCAAAGAGCAAGAATAAAATTGTCCAAAACAATACATTACCCAACATCCACACAATTCTTCCCCTCACCTCAATATTTCCAAACCGTACACACAGCATAGCCATATCGTACAGAACTCGTAGACGACTTGGATGACTTGGCCTGCGCCAAATTCGTCTACCCATGAGGAAAATTTCCGCATATTCTCGTTTCACATCTGTCCAAATCTTCCGTTTCTCATCCATTTCCACGATAATTGGTGCGAGCCGATAATAGCAGGCATAGATGGCCGACTCGTACCTTGAAAATAATAGCCATAAAGAGTGAAGCTGGAGCTAAGTGATCAATGAGCAGTGCTACTGGAGGTAGCACGGTGGAGTGCGACATTCTGGCGGGATTCGCGTGATTTGCGGGAGATGGGCGAAAAGTGAACCATAATAATTTTTGCAGCGAATACTCTACCAATGGTTTACCGAAGTATTGCTCGTATCAAGTGAAACTTCTTGAAAATGTTAGCAGGGGCAACAATCACGTCCCACTACACGTCTACAGTCTGCTTATGGATTACGGTCATGTCGTACTTCTACCAAAATCCGCCTCATCGAGCCATCTGCTGGGAGCACTCAAATATATCTCCTCTACAAGAAGCTTTCCCCAAGTCCCCCATATCCCGCGAATCCCGCAAATCCCGCGCATTCCTCAACTCCCGCGAGATTGGTGTACTCCACGTTCTGACAGTATTTGTAGAGGGACTTTGAAGTAACTGAAACCTACCAAGCCAGATAGCAGTACTTCTTCGAGATGGCCAGAAGACGATCGAGCCAAGCATAACAGAGTTCTCGGCGTTCCTCGGTGGTGCCTTCTTCGGGATCGCTATACTGAAAGCGAAACAAGTCGTTCGCTGTCCAGTTGTCGCCCTTCTTTCTCAGTCTCTCAATCTCATTCGTTGGTTTTCGTGACAATTTCGAAGCCACCCGGCGAATGGGTCGATCTGAAATATTGGCATTGTCTGCAATAATTCGGAAATGAATCCGGGCCGTTAAGCCCGTCCAAGACTGCACGGGGTTTGCACGAAATGAGCGCTTTTTCTGTCACTGACGTCAATGCACGTATCGTTGAGCGGGTTGTAAAATAAACTGAGAGCGCAATCGTGTCTCGTCTTCTCGCAAAGCGCACATTTTGCACGGATAAAGACTCATTTCGCTTGCAGAGCGAAGTGATTTTGAGGACCATAATACCCACCTGGCACCGGATGCAGCTTGGCATGGCTTTTTTTACGCTGCGCATCGGCTGCGCTGCTGTTTGTCAAGTAGCGCTTCAATTTCGACATACATTTCTTGTATTTTTGCAACCACGCACAGAGCACGTTCGTCTTCACTTTTCGTAGGCGTTTGTGTAGGTAGGACGTTTTCAGCATCATCTCCTGAAGTCAGCATTCACTTTGACTATCTGCGGCAAAATTTTAAGCCAAATGTATCAGTCAAATGAGCATAAGAGAGAAAGGAAAAATGATGAAGAAAAAGCCGAGATGTCTTGGATTATTGAAAGGGAAAAGCCGATCAGTAAACAGGGTAATAACAATGAGGAAATTAGACAAAATAAGAAAGTTTGAAAGTTTTCAGCGACGTGAACATAGAAAATTGACTGCAAGAAAGCCAGCTCTCAAATTCTTCATGTGCCTCAGCAAGGAAAGCTTTAAGGAAAATGGCAATGGCTAACCAAGCTGCATAACCACCCAAATGCAGCTCAAAAATACTAGAATGTTCGATCAAGCGTAAAGCGCACACCGCTTAGAAGACTTGGAAGCTGTCACTCCCAAAAAAATCCCGATAAAAGCGATGAGATGGCGCAAAATGGTGGAAACCACGTGGAGCGAGCACACAAAGAAAAATTCGACTTAAAAATGACTTTCCTTGAAGTCGGGATTTTCTTTGGTTGGTTTGGATTTTTAGATAATCATCTATGCGACAAACTTATCCATTCTACTGAACGATAGAATAGAATCTCACGTCTATTTCATTTTCACGTTGAATTGAAATATGGCAGCTTGCCAAAAACGGGCCGAAGCTCGACGAACGAGGTAAACAAAAGCAGCATGAAGTTCCACGTCCGTGCCCAGTGAGCTTCGCGCTTTGGCCAAAAGTGGTAAATTGAATCAGCTTGTGTCCATGATGCGTATCGATCGCGTAATTCAGTTAATAAAGGGAAGGTCTGTCTAAGTTCAAACTTTGGAGTTCAGCTTCCAACAAAACGTAAACGGGTTTACACCACTGCCCAAAAAGGACCTTCCTTTTTCGAACAAGCTTTCTTGCACGAAAGAATTGCAATTGCTTTCTTCATCCGTAGCTATTAATGTGAACATTTCTGACTAAAAGAGAAATGTTCTTCCAGCGAAAATTATTCCGCTGGGATTGAGTGCAACAGTGGATAAAAAATCAGAAGCTCCATCTTTTCACGGTTTCTCAATCTTGATCAGTGATTCGTTCTTTTTGCTCGGCATCCATTGCTGTCTAGACTCGGAATATAAAAACATAAATCACAAAGGCTACAAAATTTTTAATTACGCGTCATTTTTGAGTGACCAAATTTGAACAAGATTGCAGCTTCTCTAACAATGATATTTCGAATTTCAGAAAATCACCTCTATAAGTATTTTTATGAAATTTGAATTCTTGTTTGCGTAAATATGATTTCAACTGGCAATAAAACTGAGCAAATTTTAGACTTTCATCATATTGTCAAAGGCGTTAAAAACGTGGTGCTATTGATAGACGATTTTTCAGCTTCTCGCATAGTTTGGGAAAACAACTGATAAAAGCACCAACATACAGCAGCCAGAAAAATCATAAAAACCATTTAGACAATTCTTCGAAATTGAAAAATTTACAGTTAATACTTGGAAAGATTTCGTACCCTTTTATGGTTGTCAGTCCCTATAATCTCTCCACATGATCAGCCAAAGATGTGCTTACGGCTTCATTTTCTTCAGGATGAGATATGAAATCTGATCTGACACGGAAATCATCGAAAAATTCTTCACGAGGATTCTACTAAGCTGAAGAGGAATAAGGATCTGAATAGCAACGGATTTGAATTATGAACTTATGAAGAATCGCAATCTTATGACTCTATTTATTTCCGCAGGCTACGAACTCCAAAGGCAATTTCGAATAGAAATTATCTTACTTTAGCTTCCTTTGCAGCACTCTGCAGCATAAAATTCTTTTTCTGGTATCGAAATGGATCTGAAAGTGGCTATAATTGAATGCAAAGCAAAGAATACGGCAAAGTGCGAAAGGGAACGAAACGAACAGAAGAGTCACGAAGGCATCGAACACGGACATGGTGGAAGCATAAGCAGGGCACACGTGTGATTACAACAGGGGTCGTCGTCGAGGAAATCGACGATCGGACAACTGCTCCAGCAGCCACAGCCAACGCCCAGCAGCACCGAATCTCGGTCGAGACGGGGGGGGGGGAGGGGAGGCGGGCCGAGAACGAGCCCAAGGTGTGAGCTGCTAACTAATCCTCTCAGAGTAGGTAGCTCTGCTCTCTGACATGGCTGGCAGTAAGCAGTCCAGTGTAATAGTGCCTTGAGTTTACTTCAACTTCTTGAAAAACTCCTCTCTCCAGTTTTTATTTGACGGAAGCGACTGGAAGATATAGCCTCATCAGCTATAAGGGCAAAGCAATCTATCTGCCCTTAGATATACGATTTTTTGAATCCTAACCCGAGTAATTCATCACCTCAAGCGCCCAACCCACATGGCATAGCTTATCGGGGGCTTTTTGCAAGGTATGAAGGTGCATATGTTGCCTGCATGATTAATGCCCGAGGGCGTGCGTGTCTTGGCCCAACGCAAAAACTCACTAGGTAGAACAAACGCTGAAATGGCGTTGGTTGTCTTTGAAGAGGAACAGAAGAATGGTGACCTCAAGTGATGGGGAAACTTGATCAGATTTTTTCGTAAATTCTCAGGACTTTATCCTTAGAGCAAATCTCGCGTAGAAGAGACAATCACATAAAAAGCAAACTTCTCAAATGTCTGTAGAGGAACAGCTGAAAGGAAGAATCTTCCTTCCAGGGCGGTTTTTGAGCTGAGAAAATTTCAACTTAATGTACGAAATCGCTTAATTTTTACCTGGCTAATTTGTAGGAGTTTTCCTGGCGAAACAAGTAATTAAATAATCGGAATTGAAAATCACTCAAATTACAACAGGTAGAGCACAATGATTAACGTACGAATTGTACACACTTTTAAATTACGTTTAAAACCTTGATCAGGTCAAACAATCACTTCCAAAATTGGTCAAAGAAGGCAAATTTGACAAACATGTTTGCTTTGAGCTGCTTGTCAATTCGATATTAGTGCAATTCTCAAATCTTCATGAGAAAGAACCTTGTATGTGAACTATTTTCAAAGTTTTTCCAAAAATTCCACGTCCACGGGGACGGCACCTATTCCCGAGCTCATCAAGATGTTTGTCATTTTAGACACTTAGAAAATGCAAAAAGATTGTAGCAAGAATTTCCCCACATCTCCTCCCCCTCCCCTTCCCCTGGTGCAAATTCCAGCTATGCACTCCTCTAGCCCCCCCCCCCAACCCTCATCGGCCCCTAAGAACAAGCATTGAGCAGCACGAGGCTTAGTACTCATTCTCTCCGGAAATCACGAGGTGATGAAGTAGTATTGACATCGATTGATCAGAGCTCTGACGTCGAACTCCATTCGATGAGTTCCAAGAAAATGACAGCTGCATGTGTTAAATGTGATTGATATGCGTTTGCTTGCGAAGCTAGAATAGATTGGGGTGTTCATTACGGTGATACAGGGATGGAGATAGCAGTGAATAACGAGAGAAAGTCTCATTCGCACTTAGTCTAGATTTCATATACACGGAAGGTATACATATGCACAAAGAAGTTTAGCAAAAAGGAGCTGCAGAATAATGAGTCAAGACTCTAAGACTGAAGTGTGCTTCTACGAGTATATGAGAGATAAACTTTACGGTAGGAATTTTTCAAAGGATTGTGGTCATTAAATAAAAAATCTTCTCTGGAAAAAACGGATCATTTCATGGGAAATTACATAAATGGAAGGCTGGACCATTAGTTTCAACGTTTTACGACTAAAATCAAATGAGAACTGAAATGGAATCATCAACGATTCCCTGCATGACCAAAGCGCAACATCTTCTTGCGCGAACGCGGCTTTATTAGCCGCAGAGCGCATGGGACGCAGGACTTACAACGGTGTGGATACGCACGCGCCGCGTTCGCGCCCGCTCAACTAATATCGCTTCTGCGCCTTCGTCATGCAGTCTTTATGTACGGACCAAGCCCCAAGCGGCGCAGAAGCGCGGCAGACGCTTAAATCTCGCGCTCTTTGATCGGGATCCGATGCGGACCGCAAGCAGCTATAAACATGCACTTTTTGGGCTTTCAAAGACGAAACACTACATCTTACGAGAGTCACTTCACAAGCTCTAGTAGGTACTGCAATTTTAGCCTGAAACCATTAAACCAAGCCATTAAATCATTCTTTGCTGTCAAATATGCGGGAAAATTTGCAGGCAAGAAGATAAGCAGAGATTTCTATATTTAGGGAAAGCGAGGCCATGGTTGTGTGTTTTGAACAGCGCTCCTGAGAGGTCAGAAAGTTGTTAGCGATTTTGAATTATTAGCATACTAGTCTAATAGATTTAGATCACTAACGATAAGTGATCACCAAACAAGCCATTGTAAATTTCGGCGTAGATTTCCGCCTTGATTTATGATATGGGAAGTTTTTTGGCACAACTGACACTCGGCCTTGAGGACCTCATCTTATCTTTTTCCTCATATTTGAATACCTAATCTCTCGAACATTATTGGGCAGCTGGGAAATTCCGGCTGAAGTTAAAGTGAAAGAAAGAAATGCACTGACAATAAGAGCTGCCGCAGTCCGGTCTCTCATTTTAGCGAGGCTCACCTCAGCGTCAGCACAATGCTCTGGACTGGGCTTGAAGACGCATTGAGATTTCAAGTTCGCCAAAATATTGTTTAGCTGGTGGAAGACAAAGCAGACTCATTAATTATTCATGACCTAAAAAGGTCGGAGCTGCAAGCAATATGAACTGGTTGCCAATGGCACCCTTCCGTGTAGTGAGGTAATGCTCAACGGTGGTCCCAGGATTTCTGTTCGCAGGAAGGGGATGGGGGGACAAAAATATTTTTTGTGAGGAAAGGTGGCGGCATTAGCCACGTACTCGTACTAAAATTTTTTGGATGCTTCCCAATTTTCGTGGACCCTGAAAATTAAGAAAAAGAAGACGTGACAGTAGCCACGCCCCCAGAAAAAAGTTTTTACAAGACTAGTTTGAAGTTTTGAAAATTTTGAAATTTTTTTTGATTGTATATAAGTTTGAACGAGTCAACTGCACATCTTCAACTCATGGTGACTTTCAAAAATTTCACGACCCATTCTCGGAAGGAAAGGGGGAGAGGCTCCCTCGGTCCCTCTCGCCCTACGTGGGGCCAAAAGAAATGTGGGAGTTGTGCTTGATTTCGCAATTTTTTGACAGGTCTTGGAATGGGATTCTAGACGCGAATTAGCAGAACGTACAGTCGCACATCCCGGGTTAGGCGAAACATTCTACGTGAAGCAGCTCATGCGGATCGCACGAGGCTGCGCGAGCGCATAGCGCTGGCATTTTGCCAAAGAGACTAAGGAGAATGAAGTAACGCGGGTTTAGGTTCTCAGCACGACTTGATATACTGTAGCTGCGAAGGGGCGCGAATGGTTGCAAGGCGGACTCTCGCCAGTCCATTTTTCACGCGGGTCGAAACTTACTGTGTTCGCAATCTCAACAGTTTCTAAGAAAGAATATAGGAGATGCAAATGTGTATAGAGCGATAGCGTTGTGTTTGACAGAAAAACATCTGAAAGAGGATACGATCACATGCTTCCGCGTGAGTGCGGCTGCTCCAGCTTACCGCAGCTCTCTCTCAACGCAGTAAAGTTCCAAATGTCGACAGGCAGCTGATGTTGTCTGCGCCGCGCCTACACGACGAGGAACTCGGTGTCTGTTTGTGGATTATGAAGAGGATATATTTAGAAATTGAAAGAAGGATGATAAAAGACAATTCTGACTATATACAGAGTGTCCCAAAAAATGTGCCCACATTTGATTGTTAGCAAATCTCTTGTCGTGAGATCTTTCGAGAAGCTCAAAGTACCATTTTATAGAACTGGCTTCAACTTGGATTTGTTGGAGCGAATTACCATTATTGTAGGATTACAGTAGGAACTGGCAGCATATGGCGTCACTATGAGATAGGCCGTGGAAGAATTTTTCGAAAAGATGTAAAAATTGTAAAACAGGGTGTCCATGCATGCTAATTTCACTATATAACTTTTTTATGCTTCGAAGAGGTTCTTAAATGGCGTTATATCGAATTTTTAACGAATGTCAGAAATCGGATGTTACGGTTTACCTGTCATCATAACTTACATAGGTACAAGAGAAGGGTTACGGTGAAATGCAAGTTTCACATTTTTCCAGTGTAGAAGTCTTTGGCTTCTTTAATCCTTCCTTAGGGTTAGATATGACCCTTGATGACGCAAAGCTTGCCCAAATCCTACCGTAATTCCACAGTAACGAAGAGAATACGGCAATTCGCTCCATATTGCAAAACTAAGTTGAGCCAGCTCTACAAAATGGTGCTTAAAGCTTCTCGAAAGATTCCAACAACAAAACAGTAGACACTTTTTGAGACACCCCGTATGTAAGTACTCGATACCGGAAAAATCAAGTATAAAACCGCATCTTTTCCGATCATAACTATCGAAAATCAGTTTTTTTTCGTTTTACGGGTCAATGATAGTGATTGGGAAGTGTTTTTGGACTGTTGCAGAAAGTTGCGGACGGATTTCTGATGCAAGCCTGAGTTGGGCAAAGCGCAAAATGGAGTACCGTTGCGCCAACTTAAGATAGATTCTTGCTTATAGAGAGCCCAAACGATGAGAGTAAGAGTGCAGAAAGATAAGAAGAAGCACATTAGTGGGAGAACGCGCTTGAAAAAGAGAGTGCCCAAAATCTCGCGTGCTTGTGTTAGGTGGGTCCGAAAGCTCGTGCCGTTTCCCAGACCTATCTTCAAATTATTCAGAATAAAGATAAACAACCCTCTAAAAAAATGTTCTATGCAGAACGTCTTCCTCTTTCCAGCAGTAATGTTTTGCTTGGATTGTCTTGATATTTGCTCGAAAAATCGTTAGAATCTTCAACCATGGTTTTTACCTACCCTAACTTTTGCTACTTTTTGGATTTTCGTTCTGGACTTTTGGAAATGTTTTGATAACAGTTAGATAGAATAAACAAAATGCAATATGA